AAATCAAAAAAAAAAATTTTTTAAACATTAACAGAGACATTTTTGGGTATTTTTAGAGCACTGTAAAACACTTGCATACACACAAAGAAAAAAAAAACTGCACACAGAAATGCCAACTGACCCAGCTGGGACTCGAACCAGCAACCGTCTTGCTGTGCTGCTAACCACTCAGTCATTGTGTCGCCCATATACATAAATAAATATTTCTCTCTCTTTAGGGGACTAATAATGTTGATCTTTAAACTACTTCTCTAGAAGAATATCACTTGGAAAATACTGATAAAAGAATAATTTGTATAAAGTATTGGTAACACTTTACAATAGGGTTCATTAGTTAATGCATTTACTAACATGAACTAATCATGAACAACACTTGTACAGCATTTATTAATCATAATTAAACATTTACTAATGCATTATTAACAGCCAAGTCCATGTTTGTTAACATTTGTTAATGCACCATGAGTTAACATGAACTAACAATGAACTACTGTATTTTCATTAACTAACGTTAACTAACATGAACAAATACAGTAGTAAATGTATTGTTCATTGTTTGTTCATGTTAGTAAATGCATTAATTAACATTAACTAATGAACCTTATTGTAAAGTGTGACCAAAGTATTTTTTGTTTTTATTTTAGCATTTCAAAGCATCAGTACTCCAGTCTTTAATAGCAAATGATTTCACCTTCTGAAATCTCAATGGGCTGATTTGATGTTCTGTTATTATCTGTAATTACTGCCTCCTAACTATTAAATTATGAATACATTTTCATTCTCAATGTTGAAAACAACCTTTTTTCTTTCATGTTTTTGTGGAAACCATGATCATTTTTTTTCTTTTCTCTAAAAAAAAAATTCTCTAAAATTTGTTTTAAGTGAGAAGTCTTACATGTCACTAATGATCAATTTAATGCATCTTTGGTAAATAAATTTACTTAAAGGGATAATTTATAACCCCCCTCCAAAAAAAAAAAAAAAATCCTCACCATTTACTCACATTTAACTGGTTCTAGATGTTATGAATTTCTTTTTTCTCTGCTACACACAAAAATGATTAAAGCATTAACTGACATCCACAATATAGGAATCAAAAATACTATGAAAGTCAAAGGGTGATGCTCTCCAACATTCTTCAGAATATCTTCCTTTGTGTTCAACAGAAGAAAGAAACTAAACAGGTTTGTAACAAGTGGATTGGGAGTAAATGAAGACAAAATATTTATTTTTGGTTGAACTATTCCTTTAAGTGTTTTCATGGTACTATTCAATGGTGATATATCATGATTTGTGCGCAAATGCGCAATATAGTATGCGTTTTAAAATATTAGCAATATTTAGAAATGATTCATTCATTCATTCATTCATTTTCTTGTCGGCTTAGTCCCTTTATTAATCCAGGGTCGCCACAGCGGAATGAACCGCCAACTTATCCAGCAAGTTTTTACGCAGCAGATGCCCTTCCAGCCGCAACCCGTGTCTGGGAAACATCCACACACACATTCACACACACACACTCATACACTGCGGACAATTTAGCCTACCCAATTCACCTGTACCGCATGTCTTTGGACTGTGGGGGAGGAAACCCATGCGAAGGCAGGGAGAACATGCAAACTCTACACAGAAACGCCAACTGAGCCGAGGTTCGAACCAGCAACCCAGCGACCTACTTGCTGTGAGGAGACAGCACTACCTACTGCGCCACTGCCTCACCCTAAAAATGATTCTTGACCAGTAAATTATCATATCAGAATGATTGCATCCAGACCATATACGATCACCATGAGCAGAAGAGACATCTCAGCACAAAATCATAATATTTACAAACTTAGATAAAGAAATAATGAATGGATGGATGGATGGATGGATGGATGGATGGATGGATGGATGGATGGAAAGATGGATGGATGGATGGATGGATGGATGGATGGATGGATGGATGGATGGATGGATGGATGGATGGAAGGATGAATAGATGGATGGATATGCCTGTTATCTCTACGTAAAAATATCCGCCAAATGAGTTATCTTAAAATAATGCATCATATATTTGTGTTTGCAAATATAAGTGTGTTTGCGCACACTTTATTGAATAAAGCTCATTGTAATTCTGATTAATATGTATCATACATCACCCATTAGATCACCCATTACTTTCAAATTGATATTAAGATTCATCTGGAAATCATGAGAGAGCTCAATTTACAGTAAATTCCAATTCAAATGCAATTGGAAAAGAAAACCTTCCCAATCTTGTAATAAAAATGATTTCTGAAATGTTATACAGCTAGGGCATGATATAATGCACATACAATTAGGCAATAAACGTAATCACATTTCAGAATCACTAGACTGATTGTGTTAACGGCAATCAATACACAAACACTGGCTTGCAATGCTTTGGATATTGAGGTTAGATGTTCCATGCTGCTGTTATAAAAGACATACACACTAGCAAATTACTATAATCGAAGACCCTATAATCATCCCAGATAAATGTTGAATCCTTGTGCACACTAATCACCTATAATAAACTACAATATGCAGACCTATCAGACTATAATTATTAAAATGATATGATTACTGCACAGCCGTCTCAAGAAATATCCAGTATTAGCAATGTATTACAGTATAAACTGTATTGCATAATCGTTACTCTACTAAACCAGTCAAAAAATACAAAATAAGTTACATTTTGGGGTTAGAATAATCATAAAAATGAAGTTCATACTTTTACTAGTTCATTTGACTCACACGCATTGAAACGTAATGATAAAAGAAACTCTAATTTTAGCAGATTACCCAAACCTAATGTGTTTTGAAATCACTTTATCGTTGATAAATCTAAAATTATTATTACTTATTCATTTGAATTATGCTTTGATCCTTTTTAACCAAAAATAGCTTCTTCCCATATTAAATGAAACACACCATTATCAGTAGTGTAATGTAGCCTGTGAATGTGTTCAATCCAGCCAGAGCTGATTTTTCTTTTGTCATGCCTAATGTTTCATAGGCCTCGTTGACAAACCAGTTGCCATAAACCCCTTACACAAGGTTTTTACACAAGATGAAACGAAACAGCCCTAGTTAAATTAACATACAACTATACAGAAACTTAAGTTCTATTTTAATTCATCTAGGGCTGTTGTCATTGATCTATGCTAATATATCTAGAGCTGTTTAGTTTCAGGTAAAACTAAAAGAGCCCTTAGTTGAATTGACATAGTTTAGTTTCAACCTAAGTGATTTAACCCACATGGAAAGAACTTATATGAGGATATTATAATCTTTCCACATGGAAAGAACCTATATGAGGATATTAGTGCATATATGAAACATATGCAGTATATATGCACATATATGATAATATGTATGTCACATATAGGCAAAACTGAGGTGTATATAAGTCCATATACAGGCCATATAGGTCTCCTGTATTGCTTCTTTAAATCCACATATAAGCCCTATATGCAAGATATGTCTCTCATGTCTCACTTAGCCCACTGTCATACATAATGCCTAGCTCATATTTTATATTATTATAACTAAGAACTAATTTAAACAAAAATGCCAAAATCTTTGTAGCACATGTAATTGGCATGTTATGGAATTTAACAATGGCAAATAAGTGAGAGGAGATGGAAAGCTATGATGACTACACATTTTCCTGAAACATTTACATGGTCAATTATTTCTTGTATGAAGATAGTGGAAAAGAAGGTAATATAACAAAATGGTTTGTCAGTTTTTGTTTTTTTTCTGTTCAGTTTTTTGTCTTGTTTTTGTTCTTGTAATATATTTTTTCTTGTACTATTTAATTGTTCTTAAGTAAATAAAATGTACATTTTTACATTTTGGGCTTTTATTTATGTTGTCTAGAAGCTATGGATTTTAGTAATTTTACTAATATAGGTAAACATATAGGTGAACATACTTGTGCATATATGCACACATATACAGTTGAAGTCAGAATTATTAGCCCCCCTGAATTTTCAGCCCCCCTTTTTATTTTTTCCCCAATTTCTGTTTAATGGAAAGAAGATATTTTTCAACACATTTCTTAACATAATAGTTTTAATTGCTCAACTTTAATAACTGATTTATTTTATCTTTGTCATGATGACAGTAAATAATATTTGACTAGATATTTTTCAAGACAAGGCAAGATTAGGCAAGTTATTGTATAATGATGGTTTGTTCTGCAGACTATTGAAAAAAAATATAGCTAATAATTTTGACCTAATGTTTTTTTCTAATTTAAAACTGCTTTTATTATAGCTGAAACAAAACAAATAAGACTTTCTCCAGAATAAAAAGTATTTTCAATCATACTGTGAAAGTTTCTTTGGGAAATATTTAAAATAAATAAATAAATTCAAAGGGGCGCTAATAATTCTGACTTCAACTGTATATACATACATGCACATACATCTATCTGTCTGTAGTTCGGTCGGTCTGTCTGTCTGTCATGCATATATGTACATATAATATAGCAAAACAGCCAATAATATATATGTCACATCTGTTAAAAACCTATATGAAAATCTATATTAAATACATTTGTTTATATAGGTTATTTTTCAGTGTGGGAAGGCTTTCTAGTAGTCAATTATTTTAGTTAAGAGAGTAGCCAGAAAAGAAGCATTCTGGCAATATCTGATGGACACCCAGAGATTTTACTCATGTAAAGTTGGTTTTATATTTGCACAGTCGTTCATTTTAACGGCTCCTATATTGTTTACCATGCTAATTTGAACATTGGGTCTAAAATCGCATTTAAACATGACTTCAACATTAGCACAATTTGATTGACTGTGAACTGTGTTGCACTTTGATAGTATTTGGCTGCTTATGTGATTCCTCTATTTAGCAAAAACATATTTTTCTGAAACTATATTATTAAGGAGAAAGTCTGAACATGCGAATATAAAAACAACTTTACCTCAATAGAGATTTGATATCTTTTTTTCCCCTTTCCCTAAATGACTAACCTGATTTTGCAGATGGGCCTTGCTCTAGATGTATGTGTGTGTCTGGATTCTGCACATATATTTTGCTCTGGGGATCAGACGTCATCCTTATTGATTCCTCAGGTGCATCCATGTTCTTCAAGCGTTGTGGTGCAACTAGAAGATGAACAGTTAACAATGATTAACATACGTGTTCATAATCTCTTTGGCGAAAATGCATTACACCAGAAATAATAGAGCTCATTTTAAGAAAAGTTTGAAAAGTTAAGAAAAGTTGAATGGACCAGCTCTTCTAGACCTTTAATTAGGAAAACTCCAAAATACTGGAGATATTAATTGGGATGATACAGTTAGTGAACTTTCGTAATAAGATCTACATCTAAATACATCTCTAATAATCAATCATATAAGAAAATCAGCACTCATTCAGCACTTAAAAAAACACATTTGCTGGTTCACCAGTTCACAGAAGATCAAGACTAACGAAGCCACATTCAGGAACAGCAAAACCTACATAAACAAATTTATTTAATTGTGTTAATACATATAAAAGTATAACAGCATGTCCCAATCAGGAATGCACAGCCACTGACCATCTTGGATTTCTCAGTGCCATTTCTCTTGGCGCAGATCAACAAGTAAAAGCATTTGCAGCTATTAAGATCATTGACACACAGGGTCAGCGTTTCAATGTGCCTTTACCTCTTTAGCGTCAGTGAAGGGGAATGTTGTCTATGAAATCATCGCAGCTTTTTGACTCTCTCCTCCCTGGTGCCTGTAACTTGTCTGTCCTTGTGTCTGTGCACGTTTCTTGTTTTGGAAGCTGCTGACTGAAGCCCCGCCTACAAGAGCCAATGCAAAAAAACAGCGAGACTGAAAGTGTCAAGTAAGCAGAAGCAGTTGAATAAACGGAACTGCGCCCTGTCAGAACTGTACTCATAAATTAATGTGCATTTGTACGCTGTGAAATGTGTTGTTTTTTGTAATTTGGTTTGAACTGAAAGACATTCGGTGGAGACTAACTTACCGTACACTCTGTACAGCGCAAAGTCAAAGTTGTCAGCTGTTGCGGTGTCCGACTCGTCCGGTTCAGTGCTTTTGAGTCGAATCTTTGATTCACTGAAATGATTCACTACACTAGACGGTTTGTAATGAATCTTGAAGGGACATCTGTTAGTCAAGTTGCATAATCATAAACAAAAGTTTAGTGACTCTAAATCTTTTTTTATCTATTCAAATGTGACAAATATCTGGAAATTATCCAGACTCTTTCAAACTAAAACTATCAGTCTCAAACTCAATTCCTGGTGTGCCACAGCTCTGCATAGGTTAACTCCAACCACCTTCTACTCAGACCTGCTGAATAGTCTTCGGTAGTCTTGAACACCTTGATTATTTGGATCAGCTGTGTTTGATTAGGGTTGGAGCAAAATTGTGCAGAGCTGCGGCCCTCCAGGAATCCAGTATGCTTTAGGGTGTAATTGTATTACTTGTATTATTTTTGTATAATTTTGTTACCCTGGTGTTTCTTTGTTCTTGAGTATATTTTTTATTTATTTGTTTTATTTTTATGTATGTAATTGTATTTGTTCTACCTCTTTACTGCCATCATAAATTGTGAAACTATTCAATAACAGTAGGTATTAAAAAGAATAACCAATAAAGAAGGTTTTTATTATTTAAATGGGCAAATTTTGACTGAGGGAATGAGCTGGCCAGTTTGTTATTTGCCTGTAGGCTACAGTTTTTAATTAAGCTAATTTAGTTTAATTTAAATTTATTGTTTTTTATTTAATTTTAAGTCTGAACAGGTTCCCATTTTTTATGATGGATAATAAACCAGCATTTAAAAATAAGTATTCTTTCATATTTCTAAAATTCTAATCTTAATACATCATTATATAAAACTGTAATAACTTACGGTTTAAATACACATTTGTAAATAAACATTTTTGTAAATAAAAAAATAGTATGATAGGCACTTTGACAAAAAAAGTATTTTTGTTGCATCAAAAAGTGTGGTAATGATAACTATACGACAAGCTAATACAGGGCAAATTAGTGTTTAAAATGTCACAAAAACCTCGAATATCTGGAAAAAAGTCCACTTTTTGGAAAAAAAGAAAAAGAACCACCCATATTAATAGGCTGGCTTGAAATAAGCAAAATCTTGAAGAGACAGTTTACACAAAACTATAAGTCTGTCAATGATTTACTCATGTATAACTTGTTCCAAACCTGCTTGAGTTTCTTTCTTCAGCTGTTGAAATCTGGTAACCATTGACTTTCATAGTAGGCTATTTGTTTTTGTTTTTCATAGTATTGATGTCAATGGTTACCTGTTTTTCCCACCAGAGATGTCAATGGTTACAACATTCATCAGAATCTTCAGGGTGGATTAGCCAATTAAAATAGGCTTCTGATTTTGCTGTAAATGGAAGAATATAAAATGCAATAAATTGTAAAAACTATGCTAATGAACTAACATATGAATGTGCTATTTTAACAACAACAACAAAATGAAAAGGGATGAAATCAGAAATCTGCCTAAAATTGACATGGATTTATTGTAGTACAATTGTAATAAAACTATGGTTTATCCATTTTTGTTGTTATTGTTGTTGTTTGTTTTACTTGTAGTAGAACAAAAGATAACGAAAATACACAAGCATACAGAAATATGACACACCAGTGTTAAAAATAAGGTGTAGCAGGAGCTTTCTACTAATGTCCTTCTAGTGTTTGCATATAGTTCTTTTTGAAAGCTAAATAAGAACATTCTGTTTTTGTAACCAGAACGTAATTGTTTACAGAACATTCTGGAAGTGTTAGACTGTCTGTTTCAGGTCAGCTACTGTTACCAGTAGATTAAATACAGTATTCAGTGTTGGAAAAAAAAATAGTATATAATGATCTTAAGTCACCTTAAAAAAAATAATGATAATAAATAAATAAATAAATAAATAAATAAATAAACAAATAAATAAATAAATAAATAAATAAATAAATAAATAAATAAATAAATAAATAAACAAATAAATAAATAAATAAATAAATAAATAAATAAATAAATAAATAAATAAATAAATAAATAAATAAATAAATAAATAAATAAATAAGCAAGCGTGTCACTAGTCTTGTAATTGTTGCATTGTTGTAAAGTTGTAATTATTAATTTTTAGCCAACAACAAATCTTATTCAGGTAAATTTCATAAAAGCTCATATTAAGCAAGTTTGCCCTAAAGGGATAATTTACTGAACAATATTTACAACATTATTACATTATTATTACCTTTAATCCACATGCAGGGCAGCATGGAGAACTTGAGGCAAACACAGACATTTGCTGATGCTCTTTGTTTACACAGAAGAGAGAACATGCGTTGTTCATCAAAATGCTAATTGTTGTCATCCTGGATGCTGTAACCTCTAAATATATTGCAAACAAACAGCATCAGTGCACTTTACTATCCCTTATGAAAGTACACAACTGGTGTGACCCTAGCAAACACAGAATGTTCCCTTAAGGGTATTTTTGGATCTTAAATAAGAAAGTTCTGGACATTCAGTTGCTGTGAAAAGTAACTGTACAGAACCTTCCGGTAAACAAGTATCAAACTATTATCAACTATTCGGTATATACTGTCAAGTATTATTAAGTTTTGCTGCATAACTCAAAACTTACCTAGACACACACACAGACACAAATACATATATAAATACACATATACATATATTTATTTGTGTGTAAACAGCCATTTAAAAAATGTTTAAATAGCCTATTTGTATGAATGTGAAATCCAAATAACTTTTTAATTTATAATTTGCAGATATTTCCATCAGTTTTCTATATGGGAAATGTAAATGCATATATAATCTACACTAATATATAAAAATATAAATCTACAATAAGATGTTATATCAATAAGGTATATTACTGTGGCCAGATTTACATACATTTACATATTGGCCTGTTTGCTGCATCTCGGCTCATTTTAATAATTAATCTAATACAAATAAATATCCAAACAGGATTACATAAGGCATGTGTAAATTAATAATGTTTAATCTGATTGAAAGCTAATTTATGATTCTGATAAGGCTACTGACATGAAATCTGGCAGTCTGCTGTTTCACAGATAAGCTGACACTGTTTGAACTGCTGTATGTGTAAAACTTGCAATGGCTGAATTACAGCAGTGGCTTTCCAAACAAACATAACTGTACTTCAACGCACTGCTAATGAATCCACATGCCATGTCTTTGTGGATAATTTAGCACCAGCACCAGGCCTTTCTTGTTTTCATTTAAGAAGAAATCAGTTTTTTCCTCTAGATTCTAGAAGTTTCCCTTAATGATATAGCGCCCTCTAGCGGTCAGTGATGTGCAATTACACTAAAACTGTGAAGGTTGTGCTTTGACAAGGCGTTTTTTCATGCATTAAGTGCATGTGAAAATATTCAATGCATTCAAGTAGAAGAAAATCAAATAAATATAAAATGAATGATAAAATAAATAAATAAAAACATTCCTACATGTTAGTGCAAACACAAATCCTCCACAAACACTAAACGGAAAGAGAAATGTCCATGCATTTGGTGCGTAACAGCTTTATTACGCGTACCCTTACGAAAATAAACCATGGTTTTAAAAGAGGGGGGAGAGGGTGTTACTGTAATTAAACCACATAATACCAGTGGTTCTGTTGCACTAAGCATAGTTTAACAAACCAGAACTCAAACCCCCAAAACAAAAACAGTTTCGACAGTTTATTATAATAAAAGGCATTACTTTTTGCTTTTTGTAAGGTTACATATGCATGTACTAGACGAGTGGTACATTTTAGTCAAGTATTGGGTTAAAAATTGTCTAAAGGTTTTAAAAGCAACACTAGGTGGCGCTAGCTGATCATAAGATCTCAGACCATCCTTCTATCCATCCGTCCATCCATCCATCCATTCATCCATCCATCCATCCATAAAACAAAATAAATAAAAGTTCTTTAATGATTCATCATGGATGGTTCCATAAAGGACCTTTTACATCTAAAGCAGAGATGCCCAAGTAGGGCCTGCATGCCAAAGTTGGCCCATTTTAACCTTTGATATGCCATCCTATCTGAGAATGATAGAGGGTTTAACTTAAATCATCACTTCTAATTTGGCGTAACATTTTATGTTTGTTTTATTGCTGAGCTGAAAAAAACTGAAATGAAATGGAAATGAATCTGTGTTTAAAACCATAAATGAGATTGTTTTTGTTTATACTGTAGTAAGTAGGCTACATTATAAAATGTAAAAAATATATATATATTGAAAAATATTATAAGTTCATGTAAAGCAACGATTTTCAATATTATTATTATCTTTTTATGTTATTAAATAAATAAGGAAATTACCCATGGCAACTCTATTTACCTTCGGCCCACTAGTCTCCATAAAGTTTGTTTTTCGGCCCTTCATAAAAAAGAGTTTGGACACCCCTGATCTTAGGATCTTTACAATGCACAGAAAGTGCTCTGGAAAAAAGTTGTTTGGTTAATAAAAATATTTTTCATACAAGGAAACAAAATAAGGCTATTTGAAGAATCAGTCATTAAAAAGTTTCTTTAGGAAATCTAAAATTCTTTCCACTGCATCAATGTGTTTCTGCAAGTTATTGACATTCTGTATTGTATACAGTGCTATATTTAATCAACTTTGAATCTATCATCCATCCATCTATCCATCCATCCATCCATCCATCATCCATCCATCCATCCATCCATCCATCCATCCAACCATCCATCCATCCATCCATCCATCCATCCATCCATCCATCCATCCATCCATCCATCCATCCATCCATCCATCCATCAATCTATCTATCTATCTATCTATCTATCTATCTATCTATCTATCTATCTATCTATCTATCTATCTATCTATCTATCTATCTATCTATCTATCTATCTATCTATCTATCTATCTATCTATCTATCTATCTATCTATCTATCTATCTATCCAGATATCCAGATATCCAGATATCCAGGTTATTGCAATGCAGTGTTGTTCCATATAAGATAAACAAATTCAGATTTTATGACCAAACTTATCGGCAAGTTATTGCTTTGCTATACTATAGTGTTATAGTCACACAGCCATGTTAGTCTGTTAAGAGCAAAACAAGTATCCTCCTGTCTATGAAATCTCTTTTATCCCATTTTTAAGTTTACTTTTACCAAAGTACCAGTCACATCGCTGATGCGTGACCTAGTTTTAAAGCCTCAAGTGCTGCGCTTCTGGTGAACTTGCTCAGAACATTACCTTGGGTCTCAGAAAAGCCCTTCCAGGAGCCGCAGTTAATACACGCAAACATTGACAGATGCCAGAGAAATGAAATTATGGCTGGTTGAAAGTTCAGTCTGCAAGACTGGCGTGACCGCTGGCCTGGGAACAAAACAAATGACGCACAATACGGTCCTAAAAGCGACCTTTGACCAGCCGAGGTGACGTCGGATGACGTTTCACAACATGTGATGTTGCCTTTTACACAACAGTTCTGTCTGTTTCTTAAATCTGATGGGCCAATAGCCGTGTGAAATTCTGCAGATAACAGCCTCTTCACTCTTGTGTATTACTCCGCCGACATACAGCAACAAGTAGAGGACACTCTACAGTTTGACAAATATTGCTGCTATTGAACAACATAATGTACTTTTGAGGCTTCTTTAGTTGAGAAGGTAGTTGTTTAGACTGCAACTATGCAGTTTATTTTTAAGGAGAGTGCCTATTTTTTTAAATATTTATATTTCTGCACACATCCCAAGTCTCTCGGAAGTTTGTGGGTTCGGGGAGTCTCTATGCATTTGCGGGAGACTCCCGGATGCCCACAAACGAGTAATAATCTCCCTGAAATCACCTGTCTCTCCTTGCTCTGTCGTAAAATATGTTGCATACCCCTTTTCACCGCATTCATCCCAGCTATTCAGGTACGCGCAACTCACCCGCACCGCTCTTCAGGTACATCGTACGCACATGCCCCCACTGCTCTTCAGATAAGTCGCACGCAACTCACCCCCACTGCTCTTCAGATACGTCGCACGAAACTCGCCCCACCATGTCAGGTACATCACACGCACAAGCCCCTACGGCTCTTCAGTTCCATCGCGCACCATCAACCCCCCCCCTCCTAAGCAGCCATTAGCCTGTCACTGAGCAGACCAAAGACGGTTGACGTTGTTCATTCACAAGATGGACACAGATACCGCATAATAATCCCTGTAATAAAATAAGCATCTCTGTAGACTGATGGCATTTCATGCCGTTCAGACTTATAATCTTAAAATGTGAGCAAATCACCTTTGTCATTACTTTAGACAGAACGCTAGAGAATCATTAAAACACTAGCTCTAAAGTGACGTCTGACTTCAGCTGCAGATGTGAATGAATGGCGGAAGTAGCTGCTCTTACGAAAGGATTTTTAGACTCCGTGTTTGATTTTCTGTTTTAGACGCACGATCATGCTGTTGAACTGTTGTATAAATGCATTATCACACTTGTAACAGTGCGACGTGGCTGTATATTGTCACTGATGGGACAATCGCACACCTCCCACTTGTGCAGATACAGCCACATCGCACTGCTACTGATGTGATATTGCTTAGTAAACGAATAAATGTATATGCTCCGATGTGTTGTTTGTCACAACATTTCGTCGTCCACAGCAAAACACAAAGGCAATTTAGGGGAAAAATAACCATAAAGTTTTATTGCGAACCAAACAAGGTCACATAATTCAAACATTTTACAATTTTACAGTACATTTATAGTTACATATAAGCATACCCTTTTAAGTTTTTGTTCCATATACATTAAAACTAACACAGAAGACCTCAAAATATACAAACTTAAATAACCATACAGTCTTGTTCAATGGAATGTGTTGCTGAGACAGACTGGCCCGTTTCTGGATTACTGTACATCCAAGGAGGCTGGAAGACTAAAGTGAGCATTTCTACACACATTAGCAGCACATCCTTCTAGCACCTTCTGCTCAAGTCATAAACAAGGAAAAAAAAAGCATTAAAGGAAGTGCTCTTTAATTTAGGAAGATAAATGTGCAAAAAATTTGATCCCAGATGCGTAACTGAAAGGTCACAAAAACATCAGATGCTGATATATTTTAGTGGTTTTAGTGTCACGTTGACTGTTTATACCTGACATGGACTGACATGCCAGATCACATGATTTAGACTAAACAAACATTTGAACAGGGGTGTTAAAATGAAGGCACATACACACACACGCACCCACAAACAAGCATTCAATCCATCCAAAACTATGATGTCTAAAAAATGAAACGCAAGTAAGCTTTGAAATAAATCTAGTACATAAACGTCCATCAGCATCAATCTTCTCTCTCTTTTTCCCCATCTGTCACAACCCAGGGTGAAAGCGGAGGAGAAATCGTGCATTTGGATGAAGAGGAAGAGTCTTCTTCTTTAACGTGTAAAACTCAGGCCTTTCAATAAAGGCCTTTCGAGCTGCCGTACGCCATGTGCAAATGCCCCCGATCTGGAGGCAGGGAAATGAGACGGGGTTTGCTTTTCTCATAGTGATGCACTACAGGTGAGATTCCATGGGACAGCATTTCCCTGGTAAATGAGCTACAGGTAGGAGTCCATGGGATGGCGTTTCTAGGGAATGGGCTACAGGTAGGAGTCCATAGCAGGGGCGTAAGAGAAGCCCAGGAAAGCCTCGGTCGCTTCAGTGATGCTGGACGTGACCAGAGCGCTGTCCGGCGAGCAGCCGATTGAATTCGGCACTGGCTCATCGGTGAACTCAGGGTCAAAGTGTCGCAAGTCGTTAGGCCCCGTCTGAAACAAAACGATGTCAAAATGACATTGATTAGAAAGTGCAATATTTGCAAAGCGGCTAGCATGACTGGGAAGTTTTTATCTCTAACATCCAGTGCAATGTGCTCAAAACTCAAAGTCAGCAAAGAGAAAGAGCAGTGTGACGTACCACATTGGGGTTGAATGGTGGCGTAAGCTTCTTGGCATTCAGATCGTCCCAGTTGATGGGAGAGAAGAACATGTGGTTCTTGATTTCAGTCTACACAAGTAAAACAGAAGATTCATTAGACACAATAGCAAAAAACACACATAATAATATAAAGAGTAATGTTTAGTATTATTATATAACATTTTATACATATGTAATGCTCAGCATACGCGAGAACCTCATTTTGAAAATTAATATATTTATTAATTTCTAAGTGAACAGAAGTTATATTTTGGTGCATTTTAACAAAACAAAGTAATTAAAGAGATACATTTATTAAAAATATATTTTAGTCATCGAAAATCTTTCGAAATAGAAAGATAATACAATTAAATTCAATCTAAATATTGCAGTTTTTTTTTACAAAATTTCAACTAATGTATATATATATATATATATATATATATATATATATATATATATATATATATATATATAATTTATTTTTATTTTTTTCTCTTGATTATATAAATTTGAGTGAACTCTTTTTTTGGACTGTGATAGTTCTGTGTTAGATTAGCTCCAGATTTGGCTTCAGTACTGACTAATCTAATGTATAAATACAAAAAAAATATTGGGGTTCCCAAACTTTTCAGCCCGCAACCCCAAAATTACATTGCCAGCGACTCACGACCCCCAATATCCTCTGAGGTGGTTTTAATGTATAAATCTTACACACAATGGCGGACACATACCAATAGGCCAATAAGTCTATTAATCATTTAATTTTGTTAAACGCAACTCGGAGACCATCCTCCATGTTCAGTTGTGGCCTGTATTTATTTTTAATGTATGGTAATGGCATAAAAAAGTCAGAAAGTTTAACCTGGAGTTATAAAAATCAACTTGCTGTGTCGTTAAAACAACGTAAATCACCCCAGGATTCAATTAAAAAAAAATTTTTTTAATGTTTGTTTCTAACATTTTAACAATGTTACTATTAACTACCATTTTGTTCTGCAGTAGGTTATGGATAAAATATGGCAATTATGATAGTTTAATAAAATGAATTTGATTTATGTAAATCGCCAAACAACTCCCCCTTTTTGTCCAAACAACTTATTGGGAACCACTGCTGTAGAAACTATTCATTTAAAAAATACATTAGTGAGGGCTGTACGTATATATGCTGAGCACTGTATTGCAAAACTTTATATTACTTATTATTTTATAATTTTTGTAATATTATTTATAATATTCAATCAAAAACCCTTACAAAGTCATCAGTGAAGCCCAGCCTTTTGGTTCTGTCTTTTTGCAGCAGGCCCTCCAGCAGGTGTCTGGCAGCGTTGGAGATGTTGGGTTTCAGCTGCAGTGGCTTGTTCAAAATGTTATCGTACATCTCTGCTGTGTTACGACTGTAGAACGGAGGCTGTGGAGAGAACATAAAAACAGTCAGCCATCTTCTAAAAAGTCAGCTCAGCTTATAAGCTAAATATGTGCAGTTAAATCAGGTGTGCGCTGAATTTTCGGCCACTAAACATTATTGTGATAAAAACAAAAATGGCAAACTTTCCTCCACTCGTTCACTGTCTACACAATTTCACTGTCAATGAAATGTGGTTATTTAATGGTCGTTCAATTCAGTGTTTCCCAACCCTGTTCCTGGAGGCACACCAACAGTACATAGTTTGGATGTCTCCCTTATCTGACGCATTCCTTTTAGGTCTTAGAGTCTCTTCTAATGTTCTGATGAGTTGATTGATGTGTGTTTGATTAGGAAGAGGTTGAGAATGTGTACTGTTGGTGTGCCTTCAGGAACACGGTTGGGAAACACTGGTTTAATTTAAAAAGTCTTAAATAATTCGTTTAGATAATAATAACAAAGCTTTTCAGTTTTAGACTAAGTGCGTCAATCATTTTTGGCCTAGAATTTTCATTTGGGTGCATCCCTAAATTATGAATCATTGAATCATTAACTCACCAGGCCATATAACATTTCATACAGCACTGCGCCCAAACACCACCAGTCCACCGTTCGGTCATACGGCTGCTTGTGTAACACCTCCGGTGCCAAATACTGCAAGACAAACAGAAAACCCTTCAAAAAAGTTCACATACTGACTCCAGTTCAGCTGCAGTGTTTAAAACAAACTTCTGTGGACCAATAAAATGAAGTCCAGTATTCACCTCTGGCGTCCCACAGAAGGTTGACGTCGTTCCATTGGGCTCGATGTTCTCTTTGCACAGGCCAAAGTCAGTCAAGATGATGTGCCCTTGAGAATCCAGCAGAATGTTCTCGGGCTTCAGGTCTCGATAGACGATGTTCAGTGAATGCAGGTAACCCAAAGCACTGGCAATCTCTGCTGCATAGAAGCGAGCGCGCGGCTCCAGAAAGCATCGCTCTCTTTGCAAGTGATAAAACAGCTATGGAAGCACAGGGAGAAAGAGGAGACAGATTAGACTGTGAGTTCCACATCCTGAATGGCATACTTAATCAAAGCTTTCTAGACTCTCTACGATCCCGAACAATGGCAGGAAATGAGAACGTCACCCCCCCCGGCCCCTCAGAGACGTCTGTTGGGTTAGACCCAGTCTAAACCACCGCAGCTGCTAAATCTGGCTCTCCCACCTCACACACTTTCCCCTCCCAGCCATTTCCTGATGAGAGTTTCCTATTCAGAGCCCAGGCGCTCCTCTCATGACAGGATTTCCTTTTTTCTGTCTGCATCTACCTCGCTGTCTCTATTTTCTGTCACTCTCTCTCCTCAATCCTGATTGTTTGTAATGTCTTGCTTATTAAAGTACACACCTCTCCTCCATTGATGTAGTCCAGTACGAAGTAGAGTTTATCAGTGGTCTGGAAAGAGTAATGCAGGCCCACAAGGAATGGATGCTTGACATTCTTCAGTAACACATTGCGCTCTGACATAATGTGTTTCTCCTAAGGGTCAGAGGTTAAGAGGTCATGCATACTTACTGATTGACAAAAAGCTTAAGTGAATAGCTGTGTGCGTGTGTGATCTCATACCTCTTTTTTCTTTAAGATGGCTTTCTTCTGAAGCACCTTCACAGCATAAAACTTCTCATCGCTCCGGTGTCGTGCCAGGAGAACCTTGCCGAAGCTACCCTTTCCGATGACTTTCAGAAAGTCGAAGTCTGATGGTTTGGCGGTGGGGTTTGAGGAAGGGCCGAGGTTGATCTGCTGAGAGGGACTTGGCTGAGGAGCAGAGAGATATCATTGGATTAATAGGATTCAGACATTGTTTTGGAGTGAGATGCAGGCTGCATATAAACATGTTTTCTGCTGCTATAAACACAACATAAACACAAGCAGATTTACCGGAGGGGAAGGGTTGCTGTTCATTAGCTCCACATCTTGTGGTGGTGTCAGGTTTAGGATGGACTGAACCTCAGGACTGCAAGAACAACAAATCAGAGATGCACAGTGAGAAAACAAACGAGGATAAATCTATAAACAAGACAACTGGAAGTTAAAATAAATAAATCAATAAATATAATAATTAAAATAAACAAGAAATACACAGTTTGAATAATAGTTAAAAAAGTTATTTAAAACAATTATTGTTTTAAATAGATGTTTAAATCAAAAAGATGTATAATTGCTTGTTTTTAAATAAATGAGAATAGTTTAAATATAATAAATTATAACTGCATGTTTTAATAAAACAATTTGAATGAAATGACATATCAGTAATAATAATAATATACATGTATTCTATTTATTGTAATTTTATAGCTGAAATACATTTGTAAACATGCAATAAGTTACAAATAATGTGCATGTTTACAAATGTATTTCAAGTATAAAATTACAAAAAAATCGATACAGATATGTTATTTTTACTGATTTGTTCTACATGTGCACAGTTCCTTTCAGCATTTACATTAAACAAACTTACTGCTTGCATGCATAGGAGTTTGCAGAAAGCTTCTGGATGAAGTCATTCAGTCCCATCTTTCTCTGCTTCATAAAAGCTGCACATGAAAGACAAAACAGAGAAAGAAAACCTCCATTTAAAAAGCAGAATCACTTAATATTCTTCCCTTCTCTCACAAAAGTTGGCTCAAAAGATTCCATTCATCTGAAAAAAAACAAAGCGTACCACTCAGATTAGCTACTAGTCCTCTTGTTTTAGAGTAGGTCAAGTCTGGAGCTGAAACGCTCGTCTCCGTTTGGATTGTCATGGCTGTAGTTTTCCACTCTGGGCCCGAGACCAAAACGACACAAAGCGCTACTGAACTCCTACACTACAGTCCCAACTATTTAAAACACCGGAGGAGGAGCGTATGGATCGCGTAATGGGCGTGGCTTGTGTGGTGTTCTCGCACAGGGGGCGTTTCTTGACGCAACTCTCTGTTTGAGGAGGCGTGGCTTTGTGCATGTTCCTCAGCAGAGTCAAGCGTGACGTCTTTGAGGGGCCAACTGTGAGTGAAGGGAACATCAGCTCGTCACGCCCCGACAGTCTGATGTTATGTTACTTAACTTACAGTTGAAAACAAGATCTTGCCGGATCTAATAAGCGCAGGACTGCATGTTCTGTTGAGAGGAACGATCAAAACCAGAGCAAACCTGATCCAAATAGTACTGTACATTTTTTTTTATAAACAAACCTGCTTTGCTCCCTGGAATAGTCATAATACAGACGTCCCAGTCTTGTTGTTAACCAAAGCTACTTCAGAATAAACAGTTCACTACAGCTAGCCTACGAGTGCAGAAGTCAGTAACAATAGATTCCTTTGCAAATTTCTCTTGCTTTGTACCTCACGTTTTCCCCTCAAAGTCCCATTTCAAGCGTTGTGACAGATGACGCATGAATGAGACAAAAGAAAGGGAACTTGAGCCAAACTTGAGGACTCTCTGGAAAAGTACTGACTGGAATAACGCAGAAAGAATCATTCTTTTGTGTCAGATTATTTCAATGAATCAGTTGGACGATTCAATACCTGTGTTGTACCGAGAAACGTACCCTGCCACAAAATGCACACCCTCATAGACTTTCATTTGCACTCTCAGTCTATATTTAAAAAAATCAAAGGTCACAATTGATTAAAACGTAAAATCCTAATTATTTTGATGGATAAAGCAAGGAAGTGAACGCATTTTAAAACGCACTAGTTTTACAAATAAATGTAAAATAATAACATTGACTGTAGTGTAGCCTTTAGGCTTTTTGGTGGGTTTAAAACAGACATTTAGGCTATGCAACACATTTACTTTTACTTCTGTAAGGAAAGGGTTCCATTCATGAAACTCACCTCAGTCACTATCATTATCACAGTCATTATAGTGTCATATAACTCTATTAATATACAATATAACTGATTGGGCAAAACGTAATTAGTAGGACAAAGCTAGCTTATTATAATGAGCAAAATGAAAATGCAATAATCTTAAATTTTGGCCATACATGTGAGAGTTTACAGCAATAATCTACACCACAATGTCACGTAAATACGTTGAATCTCTTTTGAATGGGTGCTCGAATCGAACTGTTCGAAAGAACCGATTCGGGGATTTGAGTCAGACTTCACTTCATTAACTCTGCTCTAAGAGATATCAAACTTCTGCATTCATTCCTTGCCAAACAAAGCATGTTAGGGAATTTACGAAAGATTATGAAATGCCCTATTACACAAAGTTATGCAATGAAAAAACCGCAGACGGTTAATTAACTGTGCCAATCATGAAACTTAATAAGTTAGAATAAAAGCTGAGAACATAAGCCGCAAAAACATTTAAGCTCATAAATGGTTGGGAAGTCTCACAAATAATTTCGACTTAACCACTTATTACCAATAATAATATAAGAAGGTAGGCTATCTCTTTTAAACAGTAGACAGTGGAACTGAGCAGAAAACATTAAAGCTAATAAAAACATTCAAAAACACCAGCTGCTTTCAATGCATTTGCGAGTCTGAATGAACATGAACAAGGTCAATCAAACAACATTTGATTTCATGTGTATTTGTAGCGCAGTTTATGCTATATTTTGCATAAACTACCGTAATGTTTAACAGTTCTTATTATATTCCACGTTTAATACATCGTTATACTATAATTGCTAACAGGTCAGACATATTAATCAACATCAGACGTGTATTGTATTATTTTTCTCAAGAAAAGTACGAACCTTTAAATTCCGCCGAAGTTCTCATTGTGCTGTTAATCCTAGACTAGTCTCTTCTGAAAGCCGAGAGTGACTTTTCATATGTTTGATAAAGGCTGAGCCAAGTGCCCTTATCATCAGACTGTATCAATATAGCCCAGATACAAGTACAGTGTTAAAACCGGGTCACTGCCCGGAAGGTGATGCGCCTATGTCTCCGGTACATAAAAAGCGGACACCTACAGTGGACCGTAATTGTCAAAAAACAATTCCGTACATTTCCGCGAGAGCTTAATTCGGCGAGATTCAACTTACATGTCAGCGGTGAGGTTTTGTCTTTCATAGGGTCAGGGAAGAGAGTAAGGTGCCGCGCACTGGCTTGATGAGGAAGTTTTAAGGTGAAAGAAGAAATTTGTGAGTCCGCCGCATTCCACCGGGCTGATCTGACACCGGAGATCTGTGGGGCGGAGCTTCTCCAGCCCAACAATATGCTGCACTCTGAATGCGGAGCCACGGCTAAATGAACTTGGAAGCTGACCGTGGAAACAAAGCCAGCTGCCTACCTGAATGGGCATCATATGCTCGTGCAACTCAGCTGAGAACAACTGAAGGGTTTTCAGTAAGACTAGAGTCCGGCCCATAGCCAGCCTGGTGTTTATTTTTTCTTAAAAAGTAGACCTTTTTTGCAGTTGTTCGCCTCGTTTTCTATTTAGTTAGGAAGTTTTAATGGGTTGACATTCATTTATTTTATTTTCTGCTTAGTCCCTTTATTGATCTGGGTTCACCACAGTGGAATGAACCGCCAACTTATCCAGCATATGTTATATGCAGTGGATGCCCTTCCAGCTGCAACCCATCACTGAGAAACACCCATACACTCTCAGTCACACTCATACACCACAGCAAATTTAGCCTACCAAATTCACCTGTAGAGCATGTCTTTGAACTGGGAAACCAGAGCACCTGGAGGAAACCCACGCGAACACAGGGAGAACATGCAAACTCCACACAGAAACGGCAACTGACCCGAGGCTCGAACCAGCGACCTTGCTTTCAGGTGACAGTGCTACCCACTGTCCCACCGTGCTGCCGTTTTAGTGACATTTTAGCACTACCTTTTTGATGGACTCGCAGGTTGGATGATCATCATAAGCACACTTTATGATGTATCCAAAACATTTCCTAAAGATTTAGAATCAAGAAATATGAGAATAATACTTGTTTTTTTAAATACAAATTTAGTACATTATATTTCATTAGAAAATAAAAATATGAATCTGTTAAAGTTTTCAATTAAAAACTAGCATATTGTCATTTGAATAGCACTAATTTAAATAACTAACTGGCCAGCACATTTAATTTTCCTTAGTGACACTGATGTGACAGTCAAAAGAGTATTATGCTCGGTGTCAAAGCCTTCTTCGATGGGTTATTTTCACAATTTATTATGACATAGCAGTCAAAATGGGACAAATTAGAATGGCCTTTAAGAATTGCTAAAACTAAAATTATCCCACACAGTATCAAGTCAGGGGCTATTTGTCACACTGTATAAGATAAGCTGACAAAATGAAAATGCAAACGTTTATTTAAAGGTGTACATAATGAAAATGTGGAAATGCATTAATAAAAAAGGTCAGTACATCGAAAGGCATACCATGAGCTTCAAACACCATTGTTAGATTGTTCTCATGTAAAACCTGTAATTGTAGAAGCCCAGTGAAAACAGGCCCATGTGAACAAAACATAGACTGTTACTTTGCACATGGGATCATTAACATGCACATCTTAGGCTACATTTGATTGACTACAATGTTCACCCTCACCAACCCCACTCTTATTTTTTATTTAGGCTTATTTTAAACTTATATTGTATGTATGTGGGACTCTTATTTTGAACAAAACAGAGAGACTAAAGCCCATCATGCCAATCTTTACATGTACTGTTGAGTGTGTTCAATGCATTTATGCACAGTGTCATATAGCTCAGCTTTAGTGAAAGGATGGCAATACACTTTATTAATCTCATCTATGCAAAGATTGATATTACTTTCTGTCTGTGTTTTCATCTACATTAAAGCAGTGGTCTCAAACTCAATTCCTGGAGGGCCACAGCTCTGCACAGTTTATCTCCAACCACCTTAAACTCAATCCTGCTTAGTAGTCTCCGGTAGTCTTGAACAGCTTGATTATTTGGATTAGCTGTGTGTTTGATTTTTGGAGCAAAACTGGGCAGAGCTGCGGCCCTCCAGGAATTGAGTTTAAGACCCATGCCTTAAATCTTCAAAATACAACTCAAGCTGCATCTCTGTTGGTCCCTTTTATAAAGTATGATTAAAATTTAGCCTGTATTTCCTCTGGAGGAGCTCACTCACTTCAAATCCTTGTTTTACATTATGCAAAAATCATAATCATCTGACAATATAACTGTCAGAATGGCTTTTTCAGTTTTGCCACTTATTGTTCTGTTTATTCTCATACAGGGAAAAACAGAGAGCAGTGTCTATGAAGACTTGAAAATGCGCAATATGCAGATATATGTCTGCCGTGGTCCAGATGTGGTGGGCATCATCATTGAGGGCATCCCTGTGCTTACTCGTCTTGGAAACCCCGCCAGGGCTATGAACTTGCAGTATCCACCACAACTCAGCAAAACATTTCAGGTGTTTCAAAGACATTTTGTGGGACTTGACACACTGCGTCCAAAGTCTTCCTCCTGATTCATGACACAAAAACTTCTTAGTTAATTAGTTGCCGCTCAGAGGTTCTGTTTCTTTGCTTCATCACTTTTGTTCAATGGACAGTTTGACTTGGAACAATGTGGTAGTCACGCACCGACTTCTTCAGTTTCTGGATAAGTCTGCAGCA